GTGCATATGTGCAATAAATAAACACTTCAAAAGAAAGAGCCCACATGGTCATAGAGTGGTCCTAAACGACTAGATAGGCGGGATATAAATTGAATAAATAAAATAAATAAATAATAAATAAATAGTTCTTGTGCAGTGTTTTGTGTGAGTGGTAGATTTGATGCTAAAATGTAGAGGTTGATGCTAAAACCTTAACAAAATCTTGTGTATAAGGTTGAGCACTGGATCATATCAAGCCTATTTTCATTTCCTTGCAAAAGGGATGACTCTATTGACAGAAAAAGATGGCGAATTCACTTATTCCCATTCCCCTACAACCTCCCCTGTACCAAAATGTTTCTCCTTCACACAAATGTATGTGCCCAGAACAGTATGTGAAATGATGCTGGTGGTACACATCAGTAAAAATGTCCATGTCCCCTGCTTTCTGTGGGCAGTCTCCACTTTATCTTAATTTATTCCACCATTGGAGAAAAAGAGAAGTCTTCTTCTTAGGAATAAGCAACCTATCAAGATCTAACCAATGAACAGATCTTTTCTATTACACTCTGTTCACATAAACAAACCAGTCATGTAGCTAATAAGTACTCTGCAAGGTCAGGAGGGAGAACAAAGTCATACCAAAATATCCTACCACTCAGATCATGATTCACGAAAGGTAACAAGGAGAACAGAAAGGCTGGTGCTGAAAGGTGTTGAAAAGCTGCAGTTCTACAATATTAATTTAATACAAAACTGAAGAGGAGTAAAACATCAGCTAGGGCAGTGTTGAGCTAATGTGTCTCATTGCTTCAGTCTTTAAATTCTGTTAATGCTCATGGAAACTCCGACAGATCAAAGAATATGGCCTATATAAGGGTAGGTATAGGCCTGTAAAAGGGACGTGGTGGTGCTCTGGGCTAAACTGCAGAAGCCTGTGCTGAAAACATCAGCTAGGGCAGTGTTGAGCTAACACGTCTCATTGCTTCAGTGTTTAAATTCTGTTAATGCTTGTGGAAACTCCAGCAGATTAAAGAACATGGCCTACACCAGTGGTTCTTAACCTTGAGTTACTCAGGTGTTTTTGGACTGCAACTCCCAGAAGCCTTTACCACTAGCTGTGCTGGCTGGGGTTTCTGGGAGTTGCAGTTCAAAAACATCTGAGGAACCCAAGGTTAAGAACCACTGGCCTACACAAGGGTAGGTATAGGCCTGTAACATACTTAACTATTACTTAATGTAGAATTGGTGGGAAGGTAAAATGGCGTTCCCTAGTCACGCTGGCCACGTGGCAACAGAAACTGTCTTTGGACAAGCACTGGCTCTACGGCTTGAAAACGGGATGAGCACCGCCCCCTAGAGTCTGACACGACTGGACTAAGAATGTCAAGGGGAACCTTTACCTTTTTATAGGCCTGTAACATACTTAACTACTACATAATGTAGAAAAAAACACATGGGTCACCTTGTCCTCCTTGGAAGGAAGCTAGGGTATAAACAAAATAATGAATTTACACCAGGCTTTTCTGACCAGCTTTAAGTAATCTGTGTTTTTAAACAAAATGAGGAAAAATCACCTCTGTCTTTTTCTATTTAAATCTCTTAATTTAGGTTTATTCAGTAAAGCCTATTTTTGCACTTGTGTGAAATTGCCATGGTTAACAGATGTTGTATAATATGTTTCCCTTCTTGGTTTATTCAGTAAAGCCTATTTTTGCACTTATGTGAAATAACATAAATTGTCGTGGTCAACAGATGTTGTGTAATATATTTCCCTTCTTACCCTGATAAATCACAGATTATATCCTGGATCCAAAGGATGGAAGAATCCAATCAGACAAATGTCCACTTTTTCATCCTTCTGGGATTCCCCACCTCTTCAGAACTTCAGATTCTTCTTTCTATCCTGTTCATCCTTGCTTACCTGTTGACCTTGATGGAAAACCTTATCATCATTATAGTCATTTGGATTAACAATAGCCTTCACAAACCCATGTACTTTTTTCTGTGCAATCTCTCTTTCCTTGAAATTTGGTACGTTACTGTCATTGTCCCTAAAATGCTGGAAGATTTTATGACACATGACAAACGTATCTCTTTCCAAGGCTGCCTAACGCAGCTGTATTTCTTTGTGACGTTTGTGTGCGGTGAATACATACTTCTCGCTGCCATGTCTTATGATCGGTATTTAGCCATATGCAACCCCTTACGTTACCCAATGATCATGACCAATGCTTTCTGTGCTCAACTGTCAGCAGGATGCTGGATGTGTGGCTTAATCACCTCGGCCATCAAACTGAGCTTCATTGGCCAGCTAAAGTACTGTAGGATTGATAAGATTAACCACTACTTCTGCGACATTTCACCCCTCTTGAATATCTCCTGTACTGACTCTTCCGTGGCAGAACTGGTTGATTTTATCCTGGCTCTTCTGGTTATTATGGTACCACTCTGCATTGTTGTGATGTCATATATCTACATCATCTCTGCAGTACTGAGAATTCCTTCTGTTCAAGGAAGAAAGAAAGCCTTCTCCACCTGCAGTTCTCATCTCACAGTAGTTGTGTTGTACTACTCTACCACACTGTTCCTTATGCACGGCCAAAAGCTATGTATGCCTGCAACTACAATAAACTAGTGTCAGTTCTGTACACTACGGTAGTACCCCTTCTGAACCCACTCGTATACTGCCTCAGAAATAAAGAAGTAAAAGATGCTTTGAGGAAGATGCTGTCCATTTAAGTGCTGACCTAGAGTGGCTCTGTCTTGTTATTTAAAACAGAGTAAGGTTACACATCTAGACATATCTACTAGGGCTAAGCCCCAATGAACTCTGAGAGATTTACTTACAAGTAGAAATGCTTAGGATAATGTTATCAGTGTCATTGAATTTTAGCAGTTTTCATTCAACTTTCTGTATCCATTTCTGTATCTATTTTATTCTGTTACCATTCCTACATCAGTATACTTACTGTTGCTACCTTTGAATATTGTCTTTTACTTATGTAAGCCTTCTGCTCAAGGAAGAAGGAAAGCCTTCTCCACCTGCAGTTCTCATCTCACAGTAGTTGTGTTGTACTACTCTACCACACTGTTCCTTATGCACGGCCAAAAGCTATGTATGCCTGCAACTACAATAAACTAGTGTCAGTTCTGTACACTACAGTAGTAGCCCTTCTGAACCCACTCATATACTGCCTCAGAAATAAGGAAGTAAAAGATGTATTCTTCTTTCAACTGGAAAGAAGAAGGCCTAAAACTAAACACGGTCTGGCACCCCATTCTGAAAAATACAACCTACAAAAGGTCAACGAACTCTACCTAGCCACAAGGGCCAGGGATCATTGCACAAAAAAGACCAGCTAACAACACCCATCAATCACAGTGACATATAATCTCTCCCTCCCCCCTCCCTTGATCACAGTGACATATAATCTCTCCCTCCCCACTCCCTTATCACAACAAAAACATATATCACCCTATATCCTGAAAAAAGACAAAAGCTGTTTCCCACAGTTATAAATACTCAACTATCCAACAAACACCAACAGAGCATGGACAGCGTTCCTACTCCAGTCCTCTGAAGATGCCGGCCACAGAGACTGGCGAAACGTCAGGAAGAACAACCTTCAGAACACAGCCAAAGAGCCCAAAAACCCCACAACAACCAAGTAAAAGATGCTTTGAGGAAGACACTGTCCATTTAAGTGCTGAGCTAGAGTGGCTCTGTCTTGTTATTTAAAACAGAGTAAGGTTACACATCTAGACATATCTACTAGGGCTAAGCCCCAATGAACTCTGAGAGTTTTACTTGCAAGTAGAAATGCTTAGGATAATGTCATCAGTGTCATTGAATTTTAGCCGTTTTTATTCTATTGACAATTTCTATACCTATTTCACTCTGATACAGTTGGTATAACAATTGTTATTTCTATATAAACCTGAGGCATAAGTAGTATAGTCCATGCACATGATGAAGTAGATTTTAGTTCTAGACAGATCACAGCAAAATAACCTATTAATTTTAAAGAAGACTCAAGAGTCTTCTTTTCCTTTTTATTATAATTTAATAGGTACTTTTCAGGCTTCATTGAGGAATTTAATTGAAATACAATGAACTTCCTATGGGAAAAACCCGAGAATTTTCATATTGATAATTTCCCTTTTCAGCTGATTTCAGCTATCTATACTGCATTGACACCCATGCTGAATGCCTTCATCTACTGCCTCAGGAATAATGAAGTCAAGAAAGTTATTTGGAGAACTAGAGGTGGAAGGATCAAGAGGAGTGGATATGCATTATTAGATGAAATACCTGATACATTCTGAGTGATTTCAAAATCTATGTCTTAGAACATCCCCTTTCCCCAAATGAATAAATTGATTCTGGACTTCGAAATGTTCTTGTGATATATTGCATGTACCAGCATGGAAAATATACTTTTAAACATGACACAAGAGAGAGAGAAAAACCCTTCCTCTTTGGAAGTATTTTCTTTACAGTTAGGAAATATCATTACCCATCGTGTAAATCAGATTGGACCAACGCTCCAGGGATCAAATTTATTTTTAGCAACAATTATTTTAAAAGACAAGAAGTCATTGCAGGGAGAATGAAATCACAATTTACTTGAAGTCTTTATAAAGACTAGTCTGTCCTCTATGCTCAGACCTTGGAATACTTTTGTATATCCCACTGAGAGAAAATAACATCACTAAACATCTAGAGACTGAGGTGTGAATAGAAGACATCCAGTGGTTTGAAGCAGTGATGTTTCAGAAATATGAAATATGGCTCCTATTCTTCATTTGTAGTAAAGGTGAGATTTTTTTTCCTTTTGTTGATATATATCACAATAAGTAAAGACTAGTAAGTTTATTGTTGAAAGTTTTCAGAAAGATTTTCTAGACAAACGAGGCATATGTGAATGAGTTAATTAGTCAATATTGTCACCTATATAATTGTCCATTCATATTTTAAACTCAAAGTTCATAATTAAAGAAGGACAGAGATATATTTTTAAAAGGTTGATCTATGCTGTCTGCCAAATACATATTTAGGAAGTTCTAGTTGTTTGAAATGGAATGTAGCCACATCATTCTGCCATACTAAGATGTTGGTGTTCAGTGATTAAATGTTGAGTCTTTCAGCCAAGGTTAGGATGTCCCTCTCTCCCTGAAAGAAAATGGGTTAGGTAAATGTCCCTTACTTAAACTTTCACACACATTTGTGCTCAACAAATTTGTGAGGTTCCATTTTTTTTCCTGCATTTTTAAAAGAATAGTTTTTGTCCCAAATATGGTTAGATTAACCTGTCCATTTCACTTTCCCCAATAGTTAAATCTGAAATTCTTTCCATACCATAATGAATTTAAATTATATTATAATTTTATTTTTAAAAATGAACTGAAACAAAGTGCTGCCATCTCTAGAAAAAGTACCAATCACCATAATTTCTAGCTCTTGTGCAAAATGCACTCCTTTCAGAATTGAGGTTTACTCTTTTTCTCTTGACATTTAGAAAGCGTGTTCCAGATAATCTCTTCAAATTGTTTTAAAATTGTTTTAGTAATGAGTGTATTTCTTAAAAAATATTTCAGGATTGTTGAGCATTGTCTTGGATTTTTTTTCTGATAAGAAGAAATATTAATAATAAACAAATACCTATTGAGTTTTATACAGTAGGTTAAATAAGAACATAATAAACTGAATTCTGCTCTGTACCCATGCCTAAAACATAGCTCAAATATGTCTACTCTATAAAAGTAAGGAACATATTAATTGAAGCACATGAATGAAGATAGTGGAATATGTTGATTTTGGGGGGCACTGAGCACAATTGCAGAAGTGTACAGCATCCTTTTAGTTATGCCCACTAGTATAATGCAACAGGCATAACTCTCAGTGGCATGTTTCTGCAACTTAAGCATTTAGTCAGCATAAGCATTTAGTATTGCATGTTGAGTGGCATGACATGGACCATAACAGCAGATGCTTAAGATGACTTTTTACACTTGGAACAATTCACTGTTGACATGCCAACTGTTGTATGCCAGCATAAAAATGCAGTAGGATTTTGGTCAGTTCTTGCGCTGTAGAATGCAGACCATGACCGCTGCTCCATACAAAGGTGATCATATTTTCTTTTCCTCTTCAGAGTGTTCTCTCATCTGTAGATTGTCTAACATTTGCCATGGAGAAAATCTATGAAATGTTTTTGCTAGTCTTAGATGATTTGTGAGATGAACAATTTTTATACTGCTCCTGGTAATTAAAATTTCAAATGAAGAGGAAGATATTGGGAGTTACAGTAGACAGAAGACCTAAGTGCCATGCATTTGCAACAGCAATATGTTTAAGTTATTCAAGCATTTAATTGTATGTGTCAGTCAGAGATACATATCCGATACCTCCAGTACCATCCACCATTGCGATACTAATGTTCATGATAACAAATCAATTTGAGATTTTATATGTCTTCCTTTTAAAAGCATGGATGTACACCATTGTGGGAGAGTGAGTTTCATGACTTTTGAGCTGTGTATATGTGATACTCTCAGTTCTATATCTTTTGGGGAGACCTACCAACTTTAATCACCATACAATTGCACTCATTTCACACGCTAGCAAGGTTATTATCAAAATCCTACAAGGTAGGCTTCAGAAGTATGTAAAGCATCTACTTCTGCTTCATTGACTATGCAAAAGCCTTTGACTGTGTGGACCACAGCAAACTATAGCAAGTTCTTAAAGAAATGGGAGTGCCTGACCACCTTATCTATCTCCTGAGAAATCTATATGTCGGACAGGAAGCAACAGTTAGAATTCATTATAGATCAACTGATTGGTTCAAAATTGGGAAAGGAGTACAACAAGGCTGTATATTATCTCCCTGCTTATTTAAGTTCTATGTAGAATACATCATGCGAAAGGCAGGATTGTATAAATCCCAAACTGGAATTAAGATTGCTGGAAGAAATGTCAACAACATCAGATATGCAGATGATACCACTCTTAATGGGGGTGGAAGAGGAGAGCACAAAAATGGTCTGAAGCTCAACATCAAAAAACTAGGATCATGGCCACTGGTCTCATCACCTCCTGGCAAATAGAAGGGGAAAATAAGGAGGCAGTGACAGATTTTACTTTCTTGGGCTCCATGATCACTGCAGATGGTGAGAGCAGCCACAAAATCAAAAGACACCTGCTTCAGGTGGGGGGAAAGCTATAACAAATCTAGACAGCATCTTAAAAAGCAGAGACATCAAAGGACCGCATAGTCAAAGCTATGGTTTTTCCAGTAATGGTGTATGGAAGTGAGAACTGGACCATAAAGAAGGCTGACCACCGAAGAATTGATGCTTTTGAATTGTGGTGCTGAGGGAGACTCTTCAGGGTCCCCTGGATTGCAAAGAGAGCAAACCTATCCATCTTGTAGGAAATCAACCCTGAGTGCTTGCTGAAAGGACAGATCCTGAAGCTGAGGCTTGAATACTTTGGCCATCTTATGAGAAGAGAAGAGTTCCTGGAAAAGACCCTGATGTTGGGAAAGTGTGAGAGCAAGAAGAGAAGGGGACGACAGAGAACGAGATGGTTGGGCAGTGTCACCGAAGCTACCAGCATGAATTTGTCCAGACTCCGGGAGGCAGTGGAAGACAGGAGGGCCTGGCATGCTCTGGTCCATGGGGTCATGATGAGTAGGATTTAATGACTAAACAACAACAACCAGCTTTTATAGCAACTTTTTCTTCATTTATTTAGTAGTCATGCTTATATTCCCCTCAAGAATTGTATTGTCTCTCTCTCTCTGTGTGTGTGTGTGTGTGTGTGTCTCTCTCTCTCACTCTCTCACACATGCATTTTTATGAAGGCATTAAAATTTAAGTAGCAGAAAATAGCACATCTTAGGGAAATGCAGACAATATAACATAACTAGTTCAATGAAAATAGAAGTCAATAATTTAAAAGCCAGAGTTGGGGAGATGGTCTTCACCTGGAATCAGGAACACTCCAAAGAATATGCCAATTTACCTCCTAGAGCTACGCATGTTGGCCCCTCTTGAAATATGGGCCACTACCACTTCCATCAGAGTCTTAAGCAGTAGCGTTGAAACATACAATATGAAAACTCATATGATCCATCTATTGCTGGGATGTCCAATATGTATCTCTCTGAGTAGGGGAGAAGGGACATCATATTTTGAATGTGGTCCTATATCAGACCAGATATTTTAGACCTGTGCAATGTAAATACTTGATGCATGGGAAGTGGGGGGGGGGCAGATTAGTCACATCAACCTTGGTCATTGTTTCTCTTTTTCTATATGTGAAGGCCAGCTCTCTGAAGATCACAGCTTCCTTTCTCTTGGAGGCTATCCACACAGTTTGAAATACTAGTTTGAAACAGCAGAAAAAATGAAAACTAGTTGTTTATGCCTTCCTTTATATGTTTGATAGTGGTACTGTACTCAGGATGCTGATTTTGTTCTGTTTTCAGTACACTAGCTATTTTGTTATATTTCAGGAATCCAGAGCATCAGTTCTGCCAGTGACTGTAACTGGCTCACAGCTGCCTTCATCTTTCAGTACTGCAGTGGTTTTGCATATGATATTTGCTTTTTCTTTTCTTCAACAGTGGAGAAATAGAGAACTTCAGAAAATGCACAGTGACACTGTGTGAACCTCAAAGCCAAGGATTTATGATTGCAACGCAAAGAACAACTGGCATAACACTCTTATCATATCCTTACCCTACATTCTTTATAGTCTAGGAAATAAAATGGAGAACCACACGATGGTAACACACTTTATCTTGGATGGATTCCAAGGTCAACTAGAACTGCAGCTCAGCTTGTCTTTTCTCTTTATGCTGTTCTATACTGTCACTTTGATGGGGAATATCGGCATGATCACCATCATCACCACTGATGCTCAGCTTCACACCCCTATGTACTTTTTCTTGAAGAACTTGTCCTTCTTGGATATCTGCTACTCTTCTGTGATCACGCCCAAAGCCATGCTGAGCTTTGCCACTGGAAAGAAGACAATTTCTTATCCTGGGTGTGCCACACAGATGTTCTTCTTCTCTCTTTTTGGGACTACTGAATGTTTTTTCCTAGCTGTGATGGCATATGACAGGTTCATGGCCATATGCAGCCCATTGCTTTATCGCACCACCATGTCAAGGAAGACATGTACACATCTGGTGGCTGGTTCATATGTATTTGGCTTCCTCAATTGTTGCACACAGACAGGTCTCACATTCAGCTTGTCCTATTGCAAGCCAGCGGAAATCAACCAGTTCTTTTGTGATGTCCCAGCTGTCATGAAGGCCTCTTGCTCAGACACTTCTATAAATGAAATCGTGCTCTTAGGAATGTGTGGCTTTATCATCATTGTAACATTCACAACTGTCCTAATCTCTTATGGCTACATTGTGGCCACAATTCTGCGGATACCTTCTGTTGAGGGAAGACAGAAGGCTTTTTCAACCTGTACTTCCCATATCATGGCTGTAAGCTTGTTTTTTGGGTCAGCTTTCTTTATGTATGGTCAACCTGGAGCTATCTCATCCCCTAATCAAGGCAAAGTGGTATCTATCTTCTACACCATTGTAATCCCCATGTTGAACCCCCTAATTTACAGCCTAAGGAACAAGGAGGTCAAAGATGCCATAGGGAGGCAGGTAAAAAGGATATATTTCCTTTCCTAAAAGTCCCTATTTTGTCTCTTGAGCAGGGCTTAAATCCAGTGGAGATTGGAGAAGGTCACTAAGTTGCTACTGTATTGAGAAGTCCTACCTTACAGGGCTGTTATGCTATCTAAGAAAAGTCAATGCTTGGTTGCTACACACTTCTGGGGACTAAAGGACCTATCTCAGAGAAAAATGTGGCAGTTTTGCACTTACAGTGACTCCACATCATACCCTCTTTAGGGAGATGTGGTTGTTACAGATGACATGACTATTCGAATAAATGTAGATTGTTGTACATGAAAAAATAAATAAAACACCCCCTGAAAATAAGCCCTAATGCATTTTTGGAGCAAAAATTAATATAAGACCCTTTCTTATTTTTGGGGAAACATGGTAGTTAGTTGAAGGACAGATCAGGGAACAGGAGTTCTGCTTGCACTAATAGATGTTATGCATCCCTTGTAAGCTAATGTTTGTAATGTAGGTATATTCCTGGTTTTAAATTTGATCCTGGCTGCCTTGGGTTCAGCAGTGAATGGGGAAGTCTTTGGCAGTTAAACTAGTGCATGGTCTACATTAGTCCTAAAGACATCTTATGGTGACAAATGAGTAAAGCCCTATTCTGATGTTCAGAGGAGGGTTAATCTAAGCACATGAGATGGTTTGCCCAACTTTTCTGTTCTCATTCTCCACACATGGCAAGTGGCAGTTTAAAGAGCTGACTTTTCAAAGTGTTCCAGATTGTTAAGGAACATTCCACACACAACAGACTGTTGCTATCCTCTTGTGAAGATTATCACGGGAGGAGGCTAACACTTTCCCCATCCTACATGTTTGAATGAACCCTCTCTTGCACACCCAAAGAGGACTTGAGTTATATTCTATTTGGACTACTGTAACATGCCTCACAAGGGGGTTGCCTTGAAAGCTGTTCCAGAACTTTGGCTAGTTCAGAAATGACTGTTGTCTAGAGCAGTTATATGGTACATGTTGATTCCTCATTCCTACTCATTCAATGCTTTCCTATCTGTTTCAAGGCACAATTGAAAGTGTTGATTAGGGTCTACAAAGCTACAACAGGACTATGTGAAATACAACAGTCTCCTATATAAACCTGTCCAGGTATTATGATTTACAAGGAAGGGAACTTTGTTTGGTTCACTACCATCTGCTAGGGATCTTTTCTTGGTGTGTCTCTGCTTATTGGGGCTAGATTGGTTCCCTCTCCACTATCTTGCTGCTACACAAAGGTATGTGTAGTGGAGAGGGACCCAATCTAGCTGCAGTGATCAGAGAGAGTGGATAACACTGGTTATCATTGTATATCTGTTGTTGAAATTGTTTTAACTGCTCAGTTGCCACTTCCATCTTTTGTTGTTGTGCTTCTAATAATGTTTGTAATTGATTCCCTTTAATATTATATTTTAATCAAGTCAGTGCATGTAACCTTATATTTTAGTAACATTCGTTGTTTTGGACTCCTTGCCCGCCCAGCCCGGAATAACAAGACGAGACACAATAAAGTGGGTTAAACTAGAGTTAAGTTAAAGGTCATGTCACAATGATGCTGTGACAACCTTCACCTTTGTTTGATGACTTCTTTGTCAAGGTAAATTTACAGGCCTGAGCAGTACAAGTGTCTTAATGAGCAGCCATAATAAACAGTTGTGTTCAAATGCTGAGTCATGGTGACTCAGGAGGGCTGACTCTTGGCTGATGCAATGTCTGATATGATTGGACACAGCAAGATGTACAAATGTATATAAGTGGACTCTGTATAGATGATGTATTCTTCTTTTCCTGATGAGTATCATGCTGTCATGCTGCTGGTTTGCACTTCTGTAAATATTCCTGTAATTACACATCTGGTGCTAGAGAAGCTGCTTGTGTGTGCGTGAGTCATTTTACCACCTGGACCTGAAGTCACTCTGCTAAATTTCCACGTATTTGCGCTGACATTCTCTGCTGTACAGAAGAGGATACAAGGTCATTCACGCCTAGAACTTTTCTATCTTATTAAACATAGGTAATGTATCTTTATCATATATTACAATAGATTCCAGTTACTCTTTTGTAGTGATTTGTGCTTTGCAATAAAGAGCTTATCTATTGTTCTTTGGTCTTTTTCTTTCAGAAGCTTTGCTGTAATGTGCTTCATGAAAGAGCAGTATATTCACACCTTGTTATACTATGTGAAGTATCCTACATTTCACTGGTGCCATATGAACACCAGTAGTAAATTACATCCAGTGTTGATTAGAAATATCCAGTGTGGTGTAGTGGATAGAGTAATGGACTTGGATTCAAGAGACTTAACTCCGGGAGGCAGTGGAAGACAGGAGGGCCTGGCGTGCTCTGGTCAGTGGGGTCACGAAGAGTCAGACACGACTTAACAACTAAACAACAAAGCCCTGCGATTTCTATATCAGTAGGCTGTAGCAGGTAGAACAGTCTTCCTCAACATGAACCTCTCTAGACTACATCTTCCATTACTCTTGGTAAAGCATTGCCGTTCAATATGGTGAAGAGCAAGTTGAGGAAGGATAAGGTGGGGTTTTTGACAGGGATTGGAGAGAGCTGGATTCTGATTTATGCTTACTGCGAGAAAATCAGTTTGATGCCTTCAATTTTTGTAAATGACACCCAATTCTGTCTGCTACACAGGTTCGTTTCTAGTAATGGCTATCCATATGCTTCTAAAGAAGTTCAAAAAACAGTGATGGCCATAACTCTAGAACTGCTATATAGCTCAGTGGTTTAAGTCTCTGGCAAAGCCAGAGGTAGAGAGTTTAATTCCCCACTATGCCTCCTTGACAGGGATGGGACTTGATTATCCATAGGGTCTCTTCCAACTCTGCAGTTCTACATTATTATATATAGTAGTCAGAAGTATGGATGTCGTTGAATGCATAAATCTCAATTCAGCTCTCATACCTAATAGATGAATTGGCAAAATCGATTCCTATCCCTTTTATTAATAAATTCCATATTGCTGGTGAACTCAACATATAGGTGTATCTTTAGTCTTGATTGTATTGGTACACTTATAATCAGTTTATGTCAGAAAGAAGACTTTGGTCAAGTATTTTTCTTGTCTTCTTAGTCATTGATATTTAAATCAGTGGAATGTTCAGAGACATTGAATTTCCTTGCCTAAATTATCTAATTCTGATACACTTCAAGCTTGATGTAATTTTACCTTTTATGGTCCTATAAATACCCTCAGTTTCCAAAACCTAGTTCAAAGGGTTCTGCAAAGATTGCTTTGCAAAGAAGCATAAGCTTTGCATGTAAAATATCACATCTCCAATCCCCCATGTTTTCAGGTAATTCTGAGAGAAGAATTGTATCTGAGGGCCATTGGCAGTCTATGTCAACAATACCAGCTTGACTGAGTAAAAGGCAGATGTTTGGATTTTCTGGACTACATGTCCTAGAATCCCCTAGTCAGCATTACTCATGGCTATGGGATTCTAGTCCACAACTCAAAGTCCAAATATTTCCCATTGAAGAAGGGAATATGAGAGGCCTATTCACGAAGATTCCCAGTGTGGTATAGTGGATACAGTGATTTACTAGGACTCTGGAGGAGAGGGTTTAGATCTCTCCTTGACCATGGAAACTCACTAGGGGGTAGTGGGACTGGTAAAACCATCCCTTAAATATATCACTTACATTGGAAGCCCTATTCAGGTCATTATAAGTCAGTTCCGACTTAATGGCACAGAACACACAAACATTCCTGAAGAAGTGCTATTTCAAGAAAAAAATACCTTTGGCAGAGGGACCCACTACCTTATCACTTCTAAAATTCCTGAATGTCTATTCGGTGTGCTAGATTCAGTTTGCTAATGAAAAACATCTCCTGAAGAAGTGCTATTTCAAGAAAAAAAAATAACTTTGGCAGAGGGACCCACTCCCTTATCACTTCTAAAATTACTGAATGTCTATTCGGTGTGCTGTATTCAGTTGGCTAATGAAAACCATGTTTGCTTCTGTTTAAGGTGCAGCTTTTTTGTGGCAACACATTTGCACAACTTCTGTCTTCATGAGTAACAATCATGCCTACTTTTGATATGTTCCAGTCTGGGGAAACATATGCAAATCCAGTTGTTCAATGTTTACAAGCACAAAAGCCGGGAGAGAAAGGCTGTTCTCCTGACCTGCCGCAGTGTTGTAACTCAGTCATGAAAAATGGAACTGAGATCACAGAATTCATCTTGGTAGGATTTAAGAATGAACCTCAGATGCAGATAGTTCTTTTAATTCTCTTCTTGGGGATGTACATTTTCACCCTGGTGGGGAACATTGGCTTCATCATAATCACCACCGTTGATGCTCACCTTCACACGCCTATGTACTTCTTCCTGAAGAACCTGTCTTTCATGGATGTCTGCTACTCATCCACCATCACGCCCAAAGCTGTGCTCAGTTTTTCAACTGGGAACAAGGTGATTTCCTATGCTGGCTGTGCAATCCAGATGTTCTTTTTCTCTCTCCTTGGGACCACCGAGGCATTTTTGCTGGCTGGGATGGCATATGATCGATTCATTGCTGTCTGCAACCCATTGCTTTACCATTCAAAAATGTCCAAGAGGACCTGTAGATTTCTTGTGATCGGTGCATATTTCTTTGGCTTCCTCAATTGTTGTACACAGACAAGCCTCACATTTAGGTTATCTTACTGTGAGTCCAGGGAAATCAACCAGTTCTTTTGTGATGTCCCAGCTGTCATGAAGGCCTCTTGCTCAGACACTTCTGTAAATGAAATTGTGCTGCTAGCAATGTGTGGATCTATTGTTATAGTGACATTCTCAATTATCTCTATTTCCTATACCTACATTATAGCAACAGTCCTTCACATACCTTCTTTAGAGGGTAAACACAAAGTCTTCTCAACCTGTACTTCCCATGTTATTGTTGTAAGCTTGTTCTTTGGAACAACTTTCTTTATGTATGGTCAACCCGGGGCTATTGCTTCTCCAAATATAGGCAAAGTGGTATCTGTCTTGTATACTATTGTAATCCCCATGTTGAATCCATTAATCTACAGTTTAAGAAACGTGGAGGTTAAAAATGCTTTGTGTAGACAAATAAAAAGGTTGCCATGCTCCCACTAAACTTCTATCTGATAGTTTTCAAAACAGGAGAAAAAACCCTCCTGAAACAAAAGGAATCCAATTTACATTTCTTTGTTATGAAATCTAGGGCCTCATAATTATGAAATCTTTTGGGATGTGTTCAAGAATAGCTAGAACAATCACAGTGTTTGTCGTTCACTACATACTCTGTTGATATTGATAGCTAGCTAAAATTTAGCTTTCCCTGCCAGAGCTACTAGGCCAGCTACTTAATAGTATACAGTTGTAAATATGTCTCATTTTGTATTGTTCTGAAGAAGTGAAATTTATTCTGGCAAGTGTATATAGAGAAGTTATACCTCCAGCTTCATAGAAGATCAAATTTGTAGTTTAATCCAGCATTGCTGCTGTTGAACATAGGTGTGCTCAGAGTGCCTTTAACCAGCTTAGACAATTGAAAAAATATATATATCCATACTTGGACAGAGATAAACTTGGAATTTCTGTTCAAGTTTTAATAACTTTCAGTTTGGATAATGGTATTTGAAGAAATCCAGCAGTCTGTCACAATTAAAAGAGCCCCATTGAATCAGTGGGAATTTGGTGAGTCAACTCCTCTATGAGTTCCATTGGTTCAATAGGCCTACTCTAGTTGAAATTTATGTACTGCTGGGTTCAGCCAATGTGTTACACATGGTTTTGTCTTTCCAGAATTTTTAAGTAATCAAAAACAGGGTTGCTTAACAGCTAATTAGGACTAGCCAATAAGATAAACTCTGTGGCAGAAACTTGGGATTTTAAACTATTTTTCACATTTAAAGTCTGAAACATCTGAGGAATGGCATGTCCTGTCATACCTACCTATCAAAATTCTAAAGTCATAAATAGAGGTTTGAATGGCTCTGTCAAATGAAGTGAAGTGAGTGCCTACAAGACAGTTGTTCTTTTCTGTGCTTCCAACCTGTCTGTACAATGATCTCCCCAGAAAGACTCACTTGGTGCCAATGTTATAGGCTTTACAGGATGTTAAATTGTCACTTTCCTTCTCCTTTGGCAGCTCATTCTTCTTGATTTCCATTTCCCCATTTCAACCCCCTGGGAATATTTGGCTAAAAATCTTTTAACACCATGAATGGCAGAACACGAGGGCTCTGCTGGGGGTATTGTTCCACCTGGTGGGTGGGTGGGTGACAGTTCTTTGATGCACCCCAGAGTCACCCATTCCTCCAGCACAAAAATGCCCAAGGAGAACCTCTACCTTTGAGCTGGTCTCTTGCCTCAGCATGGTCAGTCCAGCACTTGGTGGCGGCGGTGGCAGCCAGAATCCTTGCCCGGGGGGAGACGATGGCTGCGACCAAATGGGATTGTGACCTCTGAGGAGGGCAGGCAGGGGCTAGAGAGGCGAAGCAGATGGGAGCTGAGGGAGGGGAGCCAGCCTGGGGAAGAAGACAGGCAGGGGCCAGAGAGGCAAAGCTTGTTGGAGCGGAGTCAGGAGAGCCAGCTTGGGTAAGAAGACAGGCAGCGGGCAGAGAGGCAAAGCACATGGGAGCTGAGGGGGGGGGGGAGAATGC